ATACCTTATTTCATCATCTAAGCATAAATGAAATTGTTAGCAATAAGAGCTTTAGCAACCCTTCTGTCTTTTAGGTTCTGCTGAAGGGTTTAACCAAGCAGATAAAGCAATAAACACAGCAGTGAAGTCTGGAAGGTAAGTGCCATCTCCTTTTCTAGCTGGAGTACTGCCTCGTAGAAAGGTAAACGGGGGGGAAGGTGGAAGTAATCTATTAAAGTCTGGAAGGTAAGTGCCATCTCCTTTTTAGCTGGAGTACTGCCTAGTAGAAAGGTAAACAGGGGGGGAAGGTGGAAGTAATCTATTGGCTAAATAGATAAAACTGTGATTAAAAAAAATTGGGGCTATCTTCTGAACTGAAATTTATAATAACTTAAGTTCAGATGTTCACAACTTTTATTTGATTTAAATATTTTCAAGAGAAGTAGGTTGTATCTACAGAACAGGAAAGCGAGACCATTTACAATACACAGTAATTGATTCTATGTAGAAGATGGGTTTAAAAGAGGGAGGAAAACGTGTAGCATTAATATCATATTCTGTTACTCCTTGTGGTGACTATAGCCAGGACCCATAAGCTGTACACTAAAAAGCACTTGTTCTGTTTCAAAACTTCACAGATGGGTAATGCTGAAGAACGTTCACCTGGCTCCTGGCTGGCTCATGCAACTAGAAAAGAAGCTACATTCCCTACAACCCCATGCTTGCTTCAGACTCTTCCTTACCATGGAGATTAATCCAAAGGTAATATTGATTTGGAATCTGATCCTCTGGTAGAGTAACTGTCGTACAGAGTGCTACCCAGGGAAGGTTTTCTCATGACTGCCTTTCTGCATTAAAGAAAAGGAGAATACCTGCTTTACAGGGTAGTTACTAACCTTGGCTTCTGATAACTTAGTTGTAGCTGAAAACTTCATATCATTCCTTTTGCTGCTTCCCCTACCCTCCAGAAGAAAGGCAGGACTTCACTGTGTGTGCTGACAGTGAAGTTTTGAAGCTAATGGAAACTGTGCTCTTACGGGGATTAAATTTAGTGAATGCTAAAGGAGGTGGATTTGAGATTATTGATCTTTTCTAGGTGCCAGTGAATTTGTTACGTGCCGGCAGAATCTTCGTGTTTGAACCTCCTCCTGGTGTAAAGGCAAACATGCTGAGGACTTTCAGTAGCATTCCAGTTTCTAGAATGTGCAAGGTAAGGCTGCAGTTTGTGTAGATGAAATAAAGTGTCAGAATGTCTTCATTAAAATCTTACATGGGTGATAAAACCTCAGCTTCTAAGACGTATGTAGAATGTTGTGTTCTCACAGAAGTAAAGTAGTAGTTGCTTCTTACATTGCTGGAATGTACTCAGTTTTGGTAGCAATCTAGCATTAAATTTAATATTTTCTAGCCTTTTACCAGGCTTTGGTTTTTATCAGTTCATTTGGGTAATAGTACTTACTTTTTTTTTTTTCTCTCTCCACTTACTAGTCTCCAAAATTTAATATTTTCTAGCCTTTTACCAGGCTTTGGTTTTTATCAGTTCATTTGGGTAATAGTACTTACATTTTTTTTTTCTCTCTCCACTTACAAGTCTCCAAATGAGCGTGCTCGTTTGTATTTTCTCCTTGCCTGGTTCCATGCCATTATCCAAGAGCGCTTGCGCTATGCTCCATTGGGTTGGTCCAAGAAGTATGAATTTGGAGAATCCGATCTGAGATCCGCCTGTGACACAGTAGATACATGGTTGGATGACACAGCAAAGGCAAGTAGTCTTGTGTAGTTAGGTATAGGTAATACTTGGATTATTTAAGATCTTCAGTAAAACAGTCTGTTCTGGAAACATTTTGTAAGTTAAATGAGTAGGCACAAGTAACCTGATGGCAATTTGACTTAGTTTCTGAATTTGATACCTTGATCTGAGGAGAGGTGAAAAGGGTTGTTTCCTGCTAGTTACATTGCATTTTACTTACAGGGCCGCCAAAACATTTCACCTGATAAAATCCCCTGGTCTGCATTGAAGACACTGATGGCACAATCTATCTATGGAGGTCGCATTGATAATGAATTTGATCAACGTTTGTTAAACACTTTCTTGGAACGTCTGTTCACTACTTTAAGTTTTGATAGTGAGTTCAAACTGGCTTGCAAGGTTGATGGACACAAAGATATTCAGATGCCAGATGGAATCAGGTATCTTTTTTCTTTAGGCTAATCTCTATGTACAACTTCCCCTTTTTTCAAATTAAAAAAAAAAAAAACACCTAGCCCTCTAACCTGTATCTCTGTGCTAGAATTTAGCTGTGTAAACATCTGTCTCAAGCAAAGAATTACCTTGCCATTCTAATAGGTGAAGCCTTCTAATAAATATTAAAACTCTGACTTGCAGGCGTGAAGAATTTGTTCAGTGGGTTGAGATGCTGCCAGATACACAAACACCATCATGGCTGGGCCTTCCAAATAATGCAGAGAAAGTTCTTCTCACTACACAAGGTAAAACCAGAACATTAACAGTGTCTTGCATGGATTACCAGGCCACCATTTTAACTAAAAAGCAGAAGAGAAATGTGAAACCTGCTGAAGAGTTGATGGCTTTCCCCTCCTCCCTCTACACAGGTGTTTAACTTCTGGAAAGTAAAACATACAAGCAGTCCAAAAACTGCCCAGAAGTTTGTGAATTAAAAAAAGCTACATTGAACCTTCCAGATGTCAAGCTCACCTCTTGATTCTGGAAAGCTTTGTTATTAGCTGTGGGGACACCTACAGCTTCACAGTTCTGAATCTTCAGTCTAGACTAGGGAAAAATGAAAGTTTCAATTCTTGCATGTAGTAAGAGTTTCTCATCTTGATGCCACTGCTTCTCTGATTAACAGCATCTCTTCTGTTTCAGGCATAGATATGATCAGTAAAATGCTGAAAATGCAGATGCTGGAGGATGAGGATGATCTGGCTTACGCAGAAACTGAGAAGAAGACAAGAACTGATTCTACATCAGATGGTCGCCCAGCCTGGATGAGAACACTGCATACCACAGCCTCTAACTGGCTTCACCTTATCCCACAAACTCTCAACCATTTGAAGCGGACTGTGGAAAACATTAAGGTAAAAACTTGAGTTTAGTCTAATGTGGGCATAGGAGGTGCACAAGCTCTGGTGCATTGGAACAAGTGCATTGTCATTTGCAAGTACCAGTTAAGCTATTGCGGGGGACAATGGAACTTGTATCAGTGCTGATTTTGATTGCTGTAACAATGTAATGCCCCGCTGGGTTTCTTGAAATGCTCTTAAAAATTGGTTTATGTCTTCTGGGGATTATTTGAAATAATACAATGGCAAACTGTCTATGGAGGGTACCTCTTCTGAAGCATCTCTGTGATCAGGCAGCAAGAAACAAGTGCTTCCTGTTGTACTTGTAGCACACTGACTGCTACTTATGATGCTGCCTTTATAGCCAGTGCACATTAATTACTGCTAAAATTTAGGGAGATAGAGCAGCAGCAGGTTCTGCTAACTGGGAATAGGAATTGTAAATGCTGGAGGAAATTTTAGAGATTTGGACAATATCCTAAACTCTAATTTGGGAATAAGCTCCCCAGTTGAATATGCCCATGATCACCTAACTGCTTCTAAAGACTCACTCTGTAGGTGAGAACCTTTTGTTGCTGATTAAAAAATCCAGAGATGATTGGAAGGACATGCAGCAGGCAGTCTGCATTAATTGTTCAACTAAGACTTCCGTTTTCTTGCTCCTCCAAGGCAGAGGAGATTGTTGGTTGTAGAACAGTCTCTGCAATCACTTTCTGCATCTTCATGTAGAATGCTTGTAGTCAGTGTCCCTGGTCAGTCCATAAAGGATTTTGGGGTTGCATTTTGCAGAGGTTTTCTAGCAAGAATCCTGAACATTGATCTGCAACTTTTAATGTTTTGATAATCAGGATCCTTTGTTCCGCTTCTTTGAGAGAGAGGTGAAAATGGGAGCTAAGCTTCTTCAGGATGTTCGTCAGGACCTTGCAGATGTGGTTCAAGTGTGTGAAGGAAAAAAGAAACAAACCAACTATTTGCGTACACTTATAAATGAACTGGTGAAAGGTATGGGAATTCAAATTAGCATCTTCCAGTGCTCTCTTTTCCTCTTGCACTCTGTAGGTTAGAGGCTATTATGCTTAGCAGCTTAAAAAAAAAATTGCAGGAAAATTGGGATTGACTTTTACCATTTGACGCAAACAATATTTTTGAGTCAAGCATAAAATTCTAATTGGTTTGGGATTTCGGCTTGAGGTAGCTGATATTGGGCTTTTTTTGTACAGTTTGTATCAGCAGCTTAATTTCTAAGCTGAAATCTTACTAAATTCTTTCAGTCTCTAAATTGTGATGGAACAAAGTTACTTATACCACAAAGCGAGTCATATTACTTCTATAAAATCTCATTAAAAATATTCAGGTTCTGTGAACTTCTGTTTCAAGATTGTACATAAATGTGGAATTTTTGCACACATCCTACTTCTAGTAATATATGAAGATCTGCTGTCTGCATTTCCTAAAGCACAGATACTTGGCCTCTTCAGTTTTTTCTAAAGAACTTAAATCTTCATGAAAACTTGGAGATCACTTACTGCACTATATAGCTTAGTGTAACTGAAGTTGCTGTTGAAGGGTTTCTGTCACTGGATGGCATTTTTAATAAATAATAGACCTGGAGGCTATTTGTTTTGTAATATTTGAAAGTGCTTTCACTTACTGAGAAGCCTTGTAAGATGTAGGCTGGTTCAAGTCTTAAAACAGCTACTGGGAGAAAAAGTGAGGTGTCAAAATAGTGTGTAATTCCAACTTGTATGCAAACAAAATTTAATTCTCACCACATTTTTCATAGGTATTTTGCCTCGTAGTTGGTCTCATTACACAGTGCCAGCTGGTATGACTGTTATTCAGTGGGTGTCTGACTTCAGTGAGCGCATTAAACAACTGCAGAATATTTCCCAGGCAGCTGCTTCTGGTGGAGCAAAAGAACTAAAGGTATCTTGTGCTGAAAAATCTTCTTCTAGAGGTTATATCTAATTCAGGTGGAGCTGTGTAACTACTTTATGGAGTCCTCACATCAAGAGTTATAAATTGTTCCTCAGACAAAACAACTTCAGTCCATGTTCTCTGAAATGTCTTTGTAAATACTGTTGAGTGTCTTGTGATCTCAAAATGGTGAGGCTTAGCAGGCTAACTGTTCATACAGATTAGAAGGAAACGTACTATTTTAGAATGACAGAAGATACAGCCTTAGAACAAAAAGCAGTTTAGTAGTTACACAGTGTTCCAGTAGCAGCAGGAAAATTTTAATGTAAATAGATTGCTGAAGTAATACTTAGGATATCAGCTGCAGTATTAATTAATTATTATAATGTTTTTTAATTTTTTCTCCAGTAGCAGCAGGAAAATTTTAATGTAATTTTAATGTAGATAGGATATCAGCTGCAGTATTAATTAATGATTATAATGTTTTTTAATTTTTTCCCCCTCAATTAGAACATCCACGTGTGTCTTGGTGGCTTGTTTGTACCAGAGGCATATATTACTGCTACAAGACAATATGTTGCTCAAGCAAACAGTTGGTCACTTGAAGAACTCTGTCTTGAGGTCAATGTTACAACTACACAGAATGCAGTACTGGATGCATGCAGTTTTGGAGTCACAGGTAAACTTACAAAGGAGGTCCTTGCTCTAAAATACTTTCAGAAGTTTCTGGTATTAAGTGGGCTGTATCAAATGAAAAAGATTATTATATCATTACAGTAGTTAATACATGCTTTCTGAAGTTGTTTAAAGATTAGTTTGATATTACTTGGTAGCGAAGTATTTACAATGCTAATATATACTGAGCAGAGTCCTGAGATTTAAGTGGTACTGGATAGTGTATCTGCTACAGCCTCTTTATTTTTCAGTGTGAAATATTTACCTCTCATGTAGTAGACTTCAAGAGCCCTTAAATGATATATAGGGAGACAGTCTTTGTCTGGATGTATGAAAGCTCTTAGAACTCTAAAGTGTATTTCAATTTACAGGCCTGAAGCTTCAGGGAGCTACATGCAGTAACAACAAGCTGTCGCTTTCAAATGCTATTTCAACTGTACTGCCCATTACACAGCTTCGCTGGATCAAGCAGACAAATGCTGATAAAAAAGCAAATGTTGTAAGTATTGATAAAAATAATTTTAAAAAGAACTCTCATAATTAGATCTACCTAGTCACTTTTTTCCTGAAGCTTTATGGATGCTTTTATTGGGCACCACAAGTCAAATTGGTTTTTTCTAATATTTTCAGTGTCAGCTGGTACCTAAATTCTGGGCTAGCAGCAAACAGACCTAGTATTGACTAAGTCTGTCCTGTGTAGTTGGATAAGAAGGAGGAGAGGCATCCAAAAGTTACTAATGCTGCTCAGGCCAAAACTTGAATTTATAACCTATAAAGAAGGCTGTGCTTTAGATGAATTCACTAGGCCTGTGGGTTTTTTCCTCGTAATTTGAGTATTGAGTTCTCTGAAACTAAATTTCCCTCTCATAAATACCATGTAGTATTATAGAAACTTCTTACACTCTTCATCTGCCTTACATAACTTCTATATTCATGTTTTTCCCCAGGTTACTTTACCAGTTTATCTGAACTTCACTCGTGCTGATCTGATTTTCACGGTTGACTTTGAAATAGCTACCAAGGAAGACCCCCGTAGCTTCTATGAACGTGGTGTTGCAGTTCTCTGCACTGAGTGAAAAATCCTTGTTTTGACTGGTATTGCTGTAGTAATTGTCAGTCTTCTCCGTAGTATTCACCCCTACTTTTGTAACCTGGTTAGATTAGGTTGTCAGATGGATTTCTGTTAAGTTGACTAGAAAGAAGGGGAGCAGTGCATTGGAAAGCTGATAGGCTAGATTTCTTCGAAGGAAACTTGGATGACTTTTTAGATGGTTATTGATAGATGTGATATTTGATGGATCATGTTATACACAATAAAGTTTATAGCAAGACTTTTGACTATTTCTGTGAATATAATTCTTGAGGTGATATTTTTGGTCTGGAAAAACTGTGTCTATGATCTTTTCAGAGAATGACAAGTAATAGGTCAATATTCAAGCATATTGTTGACCTTGACACAGCTTACTCAGCAGCTGGTTCGGTAACAAGAACCTTGGAGTGTAAGTCTTCAATGCAGTAAGACACAAAGCCTGACATTATCTGCTGTGACATCTCATGACATTGCATTATTTGCAATGAACTTGCTTTTGCTTGAAGTAACCTGCATTTGCACGGCTGCCGAGATGCATTCAGAAGCTAGAGTATTCTAAACAAGACTTTCTTGTCCTGTTCACCCACAGGGCTTCCTCTTTCTTAAGCTGCTTTTATGGTGAAATAAGCCTGCAGTTCCATGCCTTGTTAAGCCCAGGAGGGCAGTATTAGATGCTTAAACAAGGAGTTAGAATCTTATTTCAGAGACTGGCATGTGGTCATTACCAAATTAGGGAAGCTAAGAATTCCTGATGATTGCTTGGGTTGCTGTAATGGTTTGGGTAGTCCCTTGCTTCCTCCAATCCTAAATTCATTGGGTAAGCATTTCTACCCTCCTGACCACCCCGTCAGAACAACTGTTACTCTCTAACAGTGGTTAATATCAAGCGTTCAAAGATGCATATGAAGAATACAGGTGCACAGCTTTTCAATCTCTGAACAGAAATCTCAGGAGCTCCTTCCTTCCAGTGATCTCTCCTATGAAAACAGTGACTTTCTGAACCCGCATTAGCTCTTAATATTTTTTTCTGTGATAAGTGGTTCTGCCACACAGGCCTGTGGTGCAAGGAAAAATTGTCTCAGCTTGCCTCACATGCTTGTTTCAGCTGATGTCTACTGGAGAATTCTTGTGGTCTGCTGTCTCCATACTATTTCATTATGTCCTTGTTCTGTTTCAGTTTCTATCAGATGTTTTCCTTTCCATCCACAGAATATTAGTATCATCTGGAATTCATAGTGTCACTCCCTTCAAGATAATTTCAAATATATTGTACATTACTTACTAGGAAGCAGACCTCTTCCTGCTAGCAGTGTGCTCTGGATGCCAGTTGCAGTGTGAACTATAAGCTTAAATATGTGCAAGTTCTGCCTATTAGCAGCTCAGATGAAACACCACCTTTCTTTCAGCAATTATTTTTGTGCCTCGCTTAGCACCTGGGTTGTGACACCAGCTTACAGCTACTATAAAAATCTCCAGTTAAACTAGTTCCACCTACTACCAAGTGCTAACGATTAGACAAGGATCATCTCAGATATGCTTGAAGTAGCTAGAACTTCCCAAATTATTCAGCTTCTCATATGTTAACTTCTGCATTAGGCCTGAATTAACAAAAGGTGCATTTTCCGTTCAGAAGTTAGTCCACAGTTGGATACTGAATAAGCAGACTTTGAATGTCTGAGGGAATACTGTCCCATGTGGCTTACCCTTCAAATTATTTCTCTTCTGAACATTCCAGTATTGGGGTTTTTTTCCTAGTGGATTATTTCAGTATGGTGTGCTAAACAACTGGTTTAAGTAAAATCCTCACTAGATGAGTTTGAAGGTCAGTAGTTCAGTTTTATTTAGCCTCAAATGAGGCGGTTGAAGACCATTCAGCAGACAGCCGGGACTTAAAAGTGTATGGCTTCCCTGACATGGGGCTGAAGGGCTTGGCTGCATCACACTGGTGTGTTTTTAAAGCTTTTCATGAGTCAGTTCTAGAGAGAGCTGTGGCCTAGTTGCATTACAACACAGATCTATAGCTGTAAGGGGGTTTGGTGTTGCCTTTTTTTTTTTTTTAAATTCACAGCTGTTTTCAAGGAGTTAAGGACTGTTCGTTGTAAATGGCCCCAACTGCAGCACTCTGCTGCTGGGGCAATTCAGAGGGTCGGCACAGTAGCTTTTGTCTTGGGGCAAAGGCCTCTGAATCTTTTGTTCTAACTGCTCTGTGTTCCAGCTGATTAAAAACTATCTCCCTATCAGGGATAAGGGAGAAAGCAAAGTTGCTTTAATAAAATAAATGTGCAGATGTCAGCAGAAGGATGCAAGGCTAGAAGTTAAATAGTTCAGCAGAAGGATGCAAGGCTAGAAGTTACTATTTAACTTCTCCAGCTTATGAAAGAAACTGCAAATTAAAAATCTGTCAGTCATACAGAATGAATGCTTTCACAAGTAGTTGGTACCAACACGTTTCAAGCCCTCGTATGTCTATAGATAGTAGTACCCCTTCCACATAAATGGACTATCCAGACTCTGAAGTTGATAAAAGAAGTTACCATACAGGACAGGGAGATCAAAGATAACCATTTTTGCTGACTGACTGGCCTCCCCTTTGTGTGCACCCATTCTGCAGCTTGTGATATTTCTCGTTAGAAGAGTGCATGTTTTAACTTCACATTGTAAATTCTAAACTGGCAGGTATATGAGACTGTGCACCTAAAACATTGGTAGGAACAGGTATGTTAATAGCACAAGTCAACTTCTTTCTGTTTGAAGAAAAAAACCTAGTTTGCCTTTAGATGCAGCCAGTTCAACTTAATGTAGTTCAGTTGTTTGTAGTCAAACCTCTAAGAGCATTCACCATACAGCTGCTTCTCTCCTCCTGCAGTAGGTCAGACATACAAAGAGCCAGACACTCTGTGAGGTAAGCTATAGGTAAGCTCATCACAACCATTCAGCCATTCAGTCTTCCTTCCCTCCTCAACAAACCTTTGTAATACTTTTTTGAAATTACACTGAAACTGAGCAGCTCCCTCCAGGTACTAGACACAGGAGTTCGGCTGATGCTTCAAGAGGCCCCAGTCACCAAAGCAGCACCCAGGTAGAAAGCTTAGCTGTGATTTTGTGGACATATCTTAAGTAGTTTTAACTTAAATTGCCACACAAGCTTGTTAGTTTAGTCCATCTTTTTAGGTGGATCTCACAGTGCACAGAGCAGCTGCGTTTGTAACAGGTTTAAGCTAGTTTGTTTGAAGCTTGTTCAGTTCAGGTACCATCTACAAAAGAAATCTATACTAGGTTCACTCTTCAGAATGAGGTTTATCCAACAATTTGTTCATTCTTAAGTTGCACGGAACTTCTTTCTTAGTTTTTCACTTGCACCCTCTGGAATGGGAATCCCTTGTTTTCTTTTAATGAGGGGCTGTTTGACCATTGTGCCATCACAGTCAGCTGCTAGTATGGGCTGTGGAGCACTGCTACCCGGGCTTGCAAGGAGAGCTGGGGAAGCTTCCTTACTCATCAGTAAGGAAGGGTCAGGTGTCAGCCACATGCAGGTAAACACTTCTGTGGTTCTAGTCAGTTCAGATGATTGCAGCAGGCTTCTTGGGACATCCTTCTCTGGGCTAGGAAGTTCCAGGGGTGCTTTATAGTCATTTTTTGTCTGAATTTCACTGACACTGGTTTCTGGGTAGAGCCAGTTTAGAGGTTTAGGGAAGGACCCTCCATCTTCTGAAGTATCAGCATCCTCCACAGCCATTGCTTCTGGGGCACTGTTTGCCCGTGGTGCAACTTTTATACCATTTAAAGAGCTCAAGCTACAGTCAGAGTGAATGGATGCATCTTCTGAATCAGCATCATAAGGATCTAAAAACTAAAATAAAGGTCTCTCTAAATAAGGTGGATGCTTATTTGTCTATTAAAAAAAAAACCACAAGTGGGCTTTAAAACCACCTACAACATAAGTCACAGACTTACTGTGGAAGTTGTTCTGTTTATCTACATACTCTCACCCATATTTTAATTTTTGGGTGCTATACTGAGAACAATTACTGCATAATAGCCAAACCTACTTGCAGTCCCCTGGAGTCACTTGCTTTCTTGAGTCCTCCAGCAACTGGGCTAGGCATGACCTAATTAAGAGAAGTTAACACAGATTTATAAAGCATCTTCATATGAATTACTGATCAAAGTAAAACCAGAGTAGGTAAAAATCCTAGAGAAGGGGAAACCAGATTAACCTCTCACTAAGAGATAGTAAAAAGTGTATCTCAGTCTAACTTTTAAAGGCTTAGTAAAGTTAGCCTAAAATAGAGGAACTGAGGAGAGCTACAGTGAGTCTTACTGCACTTAAAATGTTGCTATGGAGAGGATAACTGGCAATTTAGATGTAATTTAGAGGCAAGAGAGCTTCCTTCCTGTTTAGGTTGCTTTATATTTTTTTACATGGGAATGATCTGAAATTCTTCCTTATTAGTTGGATTATTAATTTGCTGTCCTTGGAAGAGTTCTGCAACTGACAGTTGAAACAAGGCCTATCAATAAGTCTCAGTGTCACTGGGATAACATTGAGCTTTCAGGCTTCTTTCCCATATGGTTAACTGGACAAAATCTCCATGAATTTATCTACTTAAGAGCCGCATCATTGTGAAATAGCACTGATAATCTGGGTCTATTAAAAAAAAAAATCAAAAACAACTCAAAAAAACAGAGAGAAGGACTTCCTTTTAAAAGCAAACCACAAAGCAGGCACATAAAGAGAAACAAGTTCAGTGCAAGGTAACTGCTCCTTTAGAAGGAGCTATCGCAGCTGCCCAGAGAACAAGGTGCCCGTCATTGCTGTGCCTGCTGTTGGTGGGGAAGGAGGAGAAAGAGAATCTCATCACCATCAAAATCCTTCAGTCAGCCCTTACCTCTGCACTGGATTCAGACTCAGACTCTGTACTGGACTCTACGATGCACTTCTGCTGCACAGGAGGAAGGGAAAGAAACACTGATCAAAGCAAAAATTACTGCAGCTTATCCTTTCAAATATCCCACATTTGTGGTGCTACTTGTGTTGTGCAAGTGAGACACAAAGGAAAAATATAAGTCTTCCCCACATACAAAAAAAACTATGGGAAGCCATCCAGAACATGCCTTGCATTTGCTAGGAAGAGTAGTTCCACATCTGTAAATAACTTCACTAAATTTGTTGGTTTTTTTTTTTTTATTTACCCTGAGGTTTTGTTTCTTTTCTTTTTGTGTTTCTCAGGTTTTGTTT